GATTTATTTTCATTCCCTTTTCTTTTTTGCCGATTTATTATCATTTCCCTTTCTTTTTATCGATTTATTATCATTTCCCTTTCTTTCTTATTGATTGCATATCAATTCACTGATTAGTGACTGTGCGACTACTAATGATGTGTGATGGAGTGCTTCAAACTGTACCGTGTGTTCCTTATTGGTAAAAGTATATTAATGGTGTATGGTATGTTTTGTAACTGATCCTTCTTTCTTGGTTCATTGTTATACCTTTATGTACTATAGTATTTTTTTTATCTTTCATGTTAATCTATTACCTTAATCTAGGACAACAAGCATTTCCTGGATGTATTTATATCTTTTATCTCAAATGATTACCCAATTATTCTGAGCTTTATTTTTTTGTGACATTTGTTGTTTTCATTTTTTGGCTTCATCTTCATCAGTTCAGCATTTTGCGCATCAACTATTTTTAGAAAAAATCATCTCAAACTCAAGTAAAACCATGAAAAAAAATACCACAATATAAGGTCTAAGAAATAAAAAGAACTCTTTATAATGTAACTATATTTATTTCCTATAATAAATTAAAAAATAAATAATGGCGACTGGTTCTGGCTGACAAGATAACAGGTGGGCGAATGGAGTGAATAAAATAATAATAATAATAATAATAAAGAATTCTACCAAAATACTTTTCTATTTTTCCTTTCTTCCTTTCTCTGGTGCTGGGCAGATGCAAATGGAAAATTTTGCTTAACCATTCGGTCCCATCACAAAATACAAGAATATATGGGGTAAGTGTCTATATCACTTATTCCCTTACATTCTTAAGTGATTCCACAATATATTTCAAAAGTATTTTGACACATCTTACATCGTTTAGAAATAAAAACTAACTTTTCTTATAGAAATGTAACAAATTTAGAAAATGTGGGGGCTTCACACCTCCATTTTTTCTTTGTTTTTACTTTTCATATTCCAAAGGAGCCAAGGATCTTTTAATATCACATACATATAAATAAATTTTTGTAAAAGTTGGGATATTTCATTTAATAAAAAACATTGAGGTAAAAGACTTGTACATCAAGTTCAGACACCCAAAATAACATTAATAATAAAACAATATCCCTGCTCCTCATACAAATAAAAATATGTAACATATTGGAACACAAAATTTAAGAAAGAAAAATCTACACATTAGATAACAGATCACTTATCTCCCTTTCCATTTTTTCTTCCTTTCAGAAATAGTCAGTATCATCATTATAGCTGCCAGCCAAAACAACACTATTGTAACCCAACACCAAGAAAATTTTCTTAGCAGCCCTCCAAAATACCTGGGACCTTCATAAACTTTTTCCGCCAATCGCCCACCTTAAAAAACAACCTTTAACCCATAGACGGCATTGTGTTACTTCACCATTAAATACGGGTTTGGCAATGAAAAAAAATAAAAAAAAATTGCTGTTCATTACTGCTGATTTACCTGACACCATCATGTCAGCAGCTCTAAAAATACAACAATTTTCATATTTTTTAAATTATTATTTTCTTCTTTTTCTTAAGTTTTGAGTCTGGTATCCTTATTCCATTCAGCATTCAAGCAGATGGGATTGTAAATTGGCAGCAAAGGGAGTGAAAATGGAGACTTATGTCATCTCACTTACTTCAATAATATATTTTTTTAAATTCCATTCTGCAACATACAGATGGAATAGAAACCATAATACACATATAGAATGCATAGCTTTAAAAAAAAAATCTAGAAAATTAAAAATGAAGTCCTTTAAAAATTGAGAATATATACACATCCATTTCCAAACATTTTTGCTGCCACAGATAATCCAGACCAATTATTTTTATTTACACGGACATCAGAGGCGATCCACAAACTTTTATTTAAAAAAAAAAGTTCCCCAAAAGATAATAATATACACTGCTTAACCATATAAAAAGGTAAGGCCATTTAATCCTGAAACTTGTGGATTACCTGAAATGTATGAGACGATCAATTGCAAATCTCAAGTCAAAAGTATTATATATAAAAAGGATTAAAGATCATTTTAACTTTATTGGATACTGGAAGGTTGAGTACACCTCATACACAATATACCAGTCACAATAAAAAATGAACAAAATTAAGATAAAAAAGGAAATAGTCTTTGCCAAACTTCATTTTCAATGGGGATTATTCCATCGTATTGTAGCTGACAGTATGTTAGTGTCAAGTTTTCTATGCCAGTCTCTAAATTAATCCCCATAACTAAAAAAAATAATAATAATAAAAATAAATTTTTTTGATATGCCTTTCAAATCGATCGTCTCACAGTAAATAACAGTAAATAGTAACAATAAATACATAATAATTGCTTCATTTCATATATTTCACGTTTAAACCTTACAGCCTAATAAAGTAACATGAGCTACAATTGCCACTAGCATACATGAACATTAATACATTTATTCTCCCTGTCTCAGATAACAGCATTTCATAACAACGCAATACACTGTTGCTTGTTTTGTTTTCCTTACATAGGTAAATCTGAGGCACAATCATACATTTTGGTGAATAATAATTATATATGATTATATGACACATGGAAATAGGCTCTTTCTTGTATTTCACTTTTTGTCCGTCCTCCTTTCCTCACTCTCTCTCTTTTATAAATATCCTTGTTGAAGGTAAAGGCACGTTTTGATAACAAGTTATTGTCATTTCACTGTTATCTCATCTCCTTTCTCAAACACAAAAAATTAATAATAATGCCAAGTTATAGTAGCAAAGTAGAGGAAGAAGGTGAAGATGGAGAAGGAGAAGGAGAGGAAGAAGGAGGCGGAGGGTGCTCTAAGTACTTTTCTCATTAAGTGTCGTTATCACAAATGAAATCCTTTCATGCCCAATGCCTACAATATCGAAGGTTCCTTCCCGTCTCCCTTTTAAAATAACACCCATGTGGTGGCATGTTGACTTAATAATAGTATTTTTTTTAATGTTTTGTTTTATTTTGTACTCATATATATACTCATTCATATATATATACATATATATCAAAGTTTCTTTTCCCCATTATTGAAAGCTAGAACATAATTTCAATTCTAAAAGGAATCATACAAAAAAAGGAAACTTTCCTGAAGAGCCAATTTATAGCTATGTCTAAATTCAAAGAAACCAAAAGTGTTTTTACATACTTAATTTTCTATAAATATAAGAAGTTCCACAGAGCTGCAGTGCATAGATACAGCTCCTTAAAAGGAAGTAATCAAAGTTTTTAAAAAAATTTCCATCATCACTACTATGATTATATCTGGCACTTGCCATCAAGCTATGACAGCATGAAGAAATAGCTGCAATACTAAAATCACCAAAATTCTCCGATCCTTTATGAACAATTTGCTCTATCATAGCAGCTCGTAAATACCCCACCTTCCCTCCCCTCCTAACATACACCCTAGAGTTAGAAATCCCTGTCATGCACATACTAATCTTAACCATCTGGTTATCAAAAGAGAGAACAATGACAGAAAAACGACCCTTTAGTCCAATACAATGGTGTTTCAAAAAATGCTATTGATCACCCTCTTAGTAACACAGTTAAGTCTCATTGAAAAGGCACTTCATTAGGCAATACAAACAGCGCAATGCGTATACATGTCCGATGATATTTTATTTTCCTGACTAGATGAACCCTTTACGGCAGCATAAACTTAGTCATTTGCTTGCCGTCTGCTTTAAAGCGTGAGTAATGGTAGTTAGTATTTTATATGGTATACCTTGTTCCACTATATTCTGTACCTCAGACATTGAAATAAATAGGATCTGTTTCCTAGTATAAAACTGTTTTTCCTTATAATCTCATAATAGTTAGAAGGAAAGTGTTCTAGATTCACCATGGACTTGTTAGCAAAATGCTTTCCGCAGCAATATCTTCCATCTCACTTTTGAGCCAAAGAAGGAAAGAGAAAAAATTTAAATCCCAGATTTGATCTGATCTGATAAAACAATAATGATAAAGTAAACAAAACAGACAAGGTGGGCAGACATCAATATTAGAAAAGAGATTTTCTGGCAGACCACACAAATGCTACATCATTAATGTGTGGTCATTTCTCTCTTCCTTATAAAATCAATGTAAATATCCTAAGATAGACAACAGTTAATCAATGTATGGAAGATAAATGGTTAATTCACAGCTTTAAGCAAAATACATGTGTGTCTCCATCAGAGGGGTTTTAGCTGAGCGATTCTATGGCACAGATGTGATGTTGATGGCGAGATTCTGACTAGATGTTACAGAATGTCGAGCCGGGTGTGAATATGATGATGGGGAAGCTAGGTGTGCAGGGCCATCTGCACATCTTGTCATAGTTGTGGTGATAATATGGAATCAAAACATAGACTGGAAAAAATTCATACTGACATTACATCAAAATTAGTAATAGATAAAAACAAGATAAACAGTTCCCTTTCATCGTAACACTCTGCTTAGAATTCCCAACGGCCACTTCTGTGACATCCTATAGCTTGGCTCCTCGACCATCCTTACAGCTATTTCTGACTGGACTGTAGACTTTGAACAAATACACTATCAAAGCAATAAAAAAAGGCCTGACAATTTTTTTTGCCTCAAGATTTACACATGATGGCCTATTATCTTCTGATTAACCATGTCAAGACACCTTAATGCTTACGGCTATAATTAATAATATATGGCATTATATGACTAATACAAGTCTGATGTATGAGTACAAAGTATGAATGACTATAAGTAACAAAATATTTCTTAATATGAAAACAATATAACAAGGACAATTTTAATTAAAAGACTACCACTAGCTTTAATAGAAAGAGAAAATAATATATCAGATATGGAATAGAATCTCATTAAACAAATATATACACAAACTGATAAGTCTGCTTACCAGCTTTGTGCAAATGAAATTGGGAGGAAATAGGAAACAATGTTTAATTTTTTTCTCAATGAAACAGTAAGTTTATAAATTAAGAAAACAGAGAACACAACTAGAGACCTGATAAAAGACATAATCTGAGAACTGAGTTATGACGGCATAAGGGCCAGTCATCACAGAACGAAAAAAGGGGCCCCTAATCTGTAACGGCTTTCTCCCTTTTCCTCTCTAGTAACATAATAAAAAAAACAAAGTACAGTAGTACAAAAATTTATATTGTACAATTCCTTAGAAAATTTTCAAGCACTGTAACATTTACATATCAGTCAGTGGCTTTTTATTTTTTGAGCTACTGTTTACTTATATATCTTGTACCGTAGTATCGATATGGACTTTTCTTTTTTCTTGTATGAATATTGTGTTTACAGTCAATGAGATCCCAGAATGATCCCACTAAAAGCCATGAACACTTAACTACAAATAGGCGACCCTGAAGACCATGAAATGATCTTGCTCATGTCCACATTGGAGGAGCCAAGAGACACAGGTGTAGAATCTTTGAAGTTTTTTCTTTAAATATGGCACTACACCTGCTGCTTGGCCGCCAATATACTTGATCCAACCCACACAGATGTCTGGAGTGGGCAGATGCGTGGGCATGCATGAAAAGACATGGGCAGCTGGATCAGCGAGTGTTCACAACCAGAGCGGCTTCAGCCATGGCGAGACCTTACAGTCTTACAGTCTGGCAGTTCCTCTTGGAGGCAAAGGAGCCGAGGTGGGTGAAGACCTCAGGTGATGGGTCAGGGGAGCAACGAAGGCACCCACATACTTACAGCTTGTAAAACTGAGGTAACAACACCTTCGGAATGGAGTGGCACCCAGAGCACTTGCAATATGACTAAGAGATGCATAGAAGCACTAGATAAAAAAGAAGGGGAGATAAATTTTTGCCCCACTTTCTAATGCCTCTGGAGTTTTAGCTCTTGGCTCAGTTCAGCTCAGGATGCCAGTCCAGCGCGGTGGTGGTGATGCAGCAAGGAAGGATTACTGCATGCGAGCCTCCTGCAGTTGTGGCTGGGCTGCCTGATATGGGGAGATGGGGATGGTTCCAGCAGCTGCAGCAGAGGCAGCCTGGGGTATGCCCCATGAGTAGCCTGGTAAGGATGCAGCAGCATACTGGGACATGGCAGAGGCTGTGGAAACACAAATGGCATTAGACAAGTCTTGTAGTAACACTGCAGAAAAAAATATATTTGATAAATAATTTAATTCATAATTACACAGAACCTACAAATATGAAAAACATGTCTGACATATTACACCCAAAGACATTCATTTATGATTACACTGATGAAAAATATTAATGAAAAAAGTTAGCCCTATCACAGTAACACTGAAGAAGAAAGAAACATGAAAAAATGTATATTAATCATTTATGGTGAAATAATTCCTTTTGAAATGTTTAAAGATTTTAAGTGTTGGGCATATTTTAAATCAAGTCCAGTATACATGATTATTATATGAAAAAAATAATCTTTTGATAAAAACCAGAAAAAAAACTACATTGAACATCCTTTTAAAATATATGCAACTGTAATAAGACACAATAAAAAAGGATATAACATAACATACATCAACTTGTTAAATCATGTAGCTAAGGTTAACAAAATGACTAGGTAATCAATATGTCTGACGACACTGTTTATCTCTCTCTCTCTCTCTCTCTCTCTCTCTCTCTCTCTCTCTCTCTCTCTCTCTCTCTCTCTCTCTCTCTCTCTCTCTCTCTCTCTCTCTCTCTCTCTCTCTCTCTCTCTCTCTCTCTCTCTCTCTCTCTCTCTCTCTCTCTCTCTCTCTCTCTCTCTCTCTCTCTCTCTCTCTCTCTAATACACACACACACACTCTTTATACATCAATTGAAATAATGTGTTGCACAGTTTCACTAATCTCAAATTCAAAAGTGTGTATACCAAATGTTTGCTCATTTATAACTTCCAAATCCTAACTTAGTTTACGCTGACTTTTTCCTCACTTGACACTTCTTCCGATCCTAATCCTCAGAAATTCAATCAATCACATCTCTTTTCACTTAACTTGAACCTCAGACTCACCAGTCGAGATCCCAATAGGTTTTCCTAGTCTTCATCCTATCCTATCTCTGTCAACGCCAGGCAATCCCACTTGTGAGTTCCCTTAGATTCACTATTTCAATACTCTAATCTACGTTTTCCTTTCCTGTTCCTATCAAATTACTTAAACCTTGTGTACTTTCACTCAACTTCATTCAATTCAGTTCCACTCAACTAAACCTACACAAAACCCGCATGGAACTCTCGACGCCCATTCAACTTCACTCGACCCCACTAACTTCCCTGAACCTCAACCTCGAACTCACCAGCGGAAACAGCCGCGTACTGGTCGAGGCTGGCCGCAGAAGCCGCCGCCGCCGCCGCCGTCGGGTACCCGTTGGTGGCGAAGGTGGCGTTGGCAGCGGCGTAGTCGAGGTACTGCTGGCCGGCCGTCAGGGTGTGGGGCAGGGCAGTGGGCGCCATGGGCACCAGGCCGGTGGGCATCTGCAGGTACGACGGGTACATGTAGTTCTGGTGAAGCCTGTGGGGAGAGAGAAAGAGAAACGGAGATTAATAGGGGCTGGCAAATGATTACTTTGTCGATAATTTTGGAAATGATTAGATTGTGGTTTTGAATGTTGGATGTTGAAGGGTTGGGAGTGGGCCTCAGCCGACCTAGGTTAATAGATGTCGTGGCACATGAAGAGGGTGAGGGAGGGACAGAGGGAGAGACAGAGGAGAAGAGGGGGTGGAGGGAGGTAGGGAGGGATAGAGAGAGAGAGAGAGAGAGAGGAGAGAGAGAGAGAGAGAGAGAGAGAGAGAGAGAGAGAGAGAGAGAGAGAGAGAGAGAGAGAGAGAGAGAGAGAGAGAGAGAGGGGGGGGGGGTGAACATGTATATTAAATGCTCGCCTCATGCAACACGTACTTCTTCCAACGATACGAAGAGCCTGTGCATTGACAGACACAGACAGATAGATACACATATAGATGGACAGATAGACAGATATTTATACACCCCGCATTTTCTAGATACAGACAGACCCAGAGAACCCTCCGTGTCTCTCCTGGCGGCTGTCTTCTGACTCGGGCGCCTCCACAAAACAGCGCACTTAAACACGCGCCCTTGATCAAAATGCCATGCAAAATTTAGCTTCACCTGCCGTCGTGCACGCTCCCCCCCCTCCCTCTTCTTCCCCCGGCCGCCGTCCCTTCGTAGATGATCGCTCGCTTTTCTTCTTTATCTTCTCTCTCTGGCTATTCCTGTTTTGTCTCTTCGTTCTACTTTATTTGTCTTTGTCCATTGGGCTGTCTGTCTTTACAACTATACCTCACTCTCTTTCTCCTTGTCCGTTTTCCGTCTCCCCCTCTCTCTACCTCCCTTCCTCTCTCCCTCACTTAATTCCTTCCTTCCTTCCTTCCTCACTCCCTCCCTTTCTTCTTTTCTCTCCTTTCTCTCCTCTCTCTCTCTCTCTCTCTCTCTCTCTCTCTCTCTCTCTCTCTCTCTCTCTCTCTCTCTCTCGTTATCGGCCCATCCTTCTCATGATTTATTCTCGGCCCTTGTTTCCTTGCCAGAGATAAGGTTCCTACAATATTCGTGATGGAAGAGTTAAGGCAACGCGTCACGATTCGAACTTGTTTTCGTCTACTTTCGTTCTCTCTTCCACCTTTTATCTTCCCGTCGTTATCACCTTTCCCCTCCCCCCACTTCCCCTTCCGCCTGCTCTCCATTCTCCTTCCGCGCCGGCCTGTCTCCCGCGCCTCGCTTCGCACTCGTTCGTCATCGCAATATTTCTTTCTCTTTCGACCTCCCTTTCGAGATCAGCTTAAAGAGCTGCCATAACAACGCCGCCGCAGGGAAGGAGTCGCTCACAATGCCAACGGCCGCCGTAACATAAATAAAATTAGTAAATCATTTGAAGTACAAATGACTCTGTTCGATAATCAATATCACTTATTATACCGCCGACACGCGTGCATATTACGCGACAGTGTTCACACGTGCACGCACGCGCTCGCTCGCACTCAGAGCACACGCATGCAAAACACGCACGCGCACACGCACACACGCACACACACACACACGCACACACGCACACGCACACACACACACACACACACACACACACCACAACGCACACACCACATGCACGCACACACACAAACACACACAAACACGTCTTCTTTAGGCCTACACACCGCCCGCATAAGCAGCCCCACACGCACGCAAACATATCCCTGCAAACACCCCGAGGGCTCCAGGGCGTGTCCACCTCAACCGGCTGTGTAGTACACAGTCGATAGGTACACAGGTGTCTGTAATTAGCATCACGTGTGTATTCGTGTGCACTTTGAACGCACGATTTATACAGCCATTTATGCGCATTCACATCATACGGTCACGTGCTGTAAATTATGCATTGAAAACCCTCAACGTGACGGTCGGAGAACAGCTCGTACCGAAGCTAAGATAGCGGCAGTTAGCGCTTGACATTGCGGTGCAGGGAAGGCACTTCGGGAAAAGATAAGGCGGTGATAGTGATGATGGAGATGGTGGTGGTGGTGGTGGTGATGATGGTGATGGTGATGGTGGTGATGATGATAATGATAAAATTGGATAAATAATTAATAACCAATGACAAAGCACTACTAGTTGAGATGCATAATGCATGGACGAACGAAAACGTGATTCAATCATTTCAAGAAAAAAAAAAAAAACACCAACTCACGGTCCAGCCAACCCCCCCCCCCCTCAAAAAAGAAGTGGGGGAGGGGACACCTTAAAACAGCATCATAAAAAAGCAGCATAGACAGCATACTCGTCATTCGCGAGGATCAAGGGCATCATAAACGAATATACTGGTTTCGTGTTTGCGGGTCAGACACCATGAAAAATTCAGCGTTATCACCTTTCCGTGAATGTGAGTGCGTGCGTGCGTGCGTGCGTGCGTGGGCGAGTGCGAGCGGGTGAGGAGGAGTGAGTGGAGGGAGGACGAGGAGTGGGAAGGCGTGGAGGGGGAGAAGGAGTGGGTGAATGTGAGTGAGGAGTGGGATGTGGTGAGTGTGAGAGTGGGTGAGTGTGAGGTGGAGTGGGTGAAGGTGACTAGGAGTGGGTGAGGGTGAGTGAGAAGGAGTAGGTGTGAGTGAGGAGTGAGTAGAAGTGGACGAAGAGTGAGAGCGTGCGAGTGTGAGTAAATACGAAGAAACGAGCGAGTGTGAGTATGGACAAATGAGTGAATGTGAATGACCGACCGTATGTGCGTGTTCGGTGTACACCACATGCGTGTGTGTATGTGCATGTACCCTAATACCTGCTAGAGTTTAAACAGTACTATTAGTTAAGAGAAATAAGAGAGAATGCCTCGACAACTATTTAGCGGAAGGAGCGTGAGAAAGAGAAATATGGTTAACGGTGAAGAAATGGCAGGTGGGGGGGGGGGGGATTGGGGGGAGGAAGGGGAAATAGGGGTAAAGAAACGAAGAGACGAAGAGGGGGTGTGAAGGAGGGGAGGGGGGGAGAGAGAGAGAGAGAGAGAGAGAGAGAGAGAGAGAGAGAGAGAGAGAGAAGAAGAGAGAGAGAAAGAGAGAGGAGAGAGAGAGAGAGAGAGAGAGAGAGAGAGAGAGAGAGGAGAGGAGAGGAGAGAGAGAGAGAGAGAGAGAGAGACCAATCATTCCTACAACCCATACCCCCACCTTACCCCGACCCTCTCCCCCCAAAGCCAACCCCCCACAACCTTTTCGTCCCGCTCTGAACAACCTCCGACCTCAGCAACCATCCCTCCCCAACAACCTCTCAGCGAGCCATCCAGCCCCTCACTCCCTGAAAACCATCCCAACCACAACAACCCTCTAATCATCACAACCACCTCTCAACCACCCTCTCCAATCACCCGACAACCACCCCACCCCAACAACCCTTCCCCAACACCCGTCCTTCTCCAACCCCCCCCCCCTCACCCCTCCTCACCCCACCAACAACCCTTCCCCAAAAAACCACTCCACCCCCAACAACCACCCTCCCCCCCCTTCCCCCACCAACCACCCTTCCCCAAAACCCCCCCCTCTCCGCCCGCACCCCCAGCCCTCCCCACGCCCGCACCCCCAGCCCTCCCCAGCAGGCGCGCGCGGGGCCGGCGAGGTGGCAGCGGCGCGGCGGGGGCGAGGGACGTGCCGGGCGGCCTCGGAGGAGCTTGGCGGCGGCGGCGGGCGTGCCCCTCGTGACGCCGGCCCGTGACACAGCGCCCGGGGACATCATTGCTTCTTCTCCTTCGTGGTTCTTCTTCTCCTTCGTGGTTCTTCTTCTCCTTCGTGATTCTTCTTCTTCTTCTTCTGTTCGTCTTTCTCCATTGCTGGGTTTTCTTAGGAATATTTTCTGGTTTGTGTATCTATTCGTAATTCTGTTGCCTGATCTGCCAGGCCATCTCTCTCTGTTTCTATTTTCTAATCTTCTGTTCATTCTTTTTTTCGTCTTTGTTTATTCCTGTATTTATCTTCTGCTTCTTCTTTATTTCCCGTCTCCTATCGTTTTAAAATTATTTCTCTCTTGCTTCTTACCGTATTTCTTTCTTCCCACTCTTTCCCTCCTGTTACATCTCTTCATCTTTCTTTTCTATACAACTTTACTTTCGCATCTTTTCTATATAATCCTTCTCATTCATTTTTTTATTGTTATCATCTTTTCCTTCCGATTTTTCTATAACAAATCCTTACTTCTTTTTCTTGTTCTTCTCCGCTCATTATTATAAATAATCTTTTAATCTTTATTATCTTATGTTTACCTTCATGTTCCCTTTTCCTTTGCATTCTCACTTTCCTATTTCAATCTCCCCTTCCCCTTCCCCTACCACTCTCCCTCTCTCCCTCCCACTCTCTCTCACTCCCTCCCACTCTCCCTCTCTCCCTCCCACTCTCTCTCTCTCTCTCCCACTCTCCTCTCTCCTCCCATCTCTCTCTCTCTCTCTCCTCTCTCCCTCTCACTCTCCCTCCTTCTCTCCCTCCCACACCCCCTCTCTTCTTCCCACTCTCCCTCTCTCCCTCCCACTCTCCGTCTCCCTCTAACAAAACTGACAGAGGTCATGAGGTACTAAAGGGAACTGTCATGAGAGACAGGGAAGAAGGAAGGGAAAATGCTACTAAGAGGAGAAGGAGGAAGGAGGAGGAGGAGGAAGGAGGTGGGAGAGGAGAGGAGGAGGAGGAGGATGAGGAGGAGGAGGGAGGAGGAGAGGAGGAGGAGGATGAGGAGGAGGAGGAGGCAGGGAGGAGGAGGAGGAGGAGGAGGTGGAGAAGGAGGAGAGGAGGTGAGGAGAGGGGAGGAGGAGGAGGAGGAGGAGGAGGTGGATTAGGAGGAGGAGGAGGAGGAGGAGGTGGAGGAGGAGGAGGAGGAGAGGGGAGGAGGAAGGGGAGGAGGAGGAGGAGGAGTGGAGAAGGAGAGGAGGAGGGGGAGAAGGAGGAGGAGTGAAAAGAAAGATCAAGAAGGAGATGATGATGAAGAAGAAAAGAAGAAGAGAAGACGAAAACAGAAAAAGGAGTGAAAAAAGAAACCGA